GGAGTGGCGCCGCGCCATTGCTGGTTCTGTCTTACACGAACGCGGCACCTTGGCCGAGGATCCAACTACGAAAGAATCAGGAGATGTCGAATCGTCTTTTGGGTGGTGTAGAGATTTGAGAAGTGAGCAAGTACGTTCACGTTTTTTTTCTTCTTTTCCGTGTTCTTTTGCACGTGTGATCTACGGTTATGTCTTGTGGCGGGAGGGGGGCAGCTATCGGGGATTATTTCCCCTGTAGAGAAGTGTGCCTGGTGGTCTGAGATTTTTGTTACGATTTGGCAATGTTGATCGATCGGGGACATCTTTTCTCGGATGTGAGTAGTTTGTGGAGTAATAGACTGGTGGTGATCTGGGACCTGGAACTTGTAGACGGAGGGGGTGTGGTAATTGAGAGAATTCTCACCAGTAAGGTAGGTATTACAGATAGAAGGCGAATTCAGCCCGGTTACGCACGTCATTACCTATCGCTTCCCGAGGGGGCCAGGGTGTATACGGGTTTGTCCCTCTCTGTATGCCCGTTGTTGTGTAATGGCGGCGAACTATGCAAGCAGTCAGCCTCGTGGAGCCGTGTTACGTGGAACCGGAGTCCTTGGATTCACTTTCTTCCTGTTGGATTGGCAGGCACCGTGGAGAGGAGGCGTTTTGGTAGGTGAGGGGGCGAGGAAGGGGGGCGTGTTGTTGAGGCGGTTTCTCCGTCTTTTCGTCCTGGGGGCTGTTGCAGAGCTGGGGTTTAGATGTGGAGATGTGTGTGCAGATAATGGTGCGTTCACCTAAAGGGATACCGGTTGCGTTCTGTTGTTGTTGTTGTTGTATATTTCGATACGGCGCGGTTGCGTATGTCCATTTGGATGTACCTATCTCCTTGTCTGTGATATTGGGACCCTCTTTGAGCGGCATATGTCGTCCATGACGGGGACATGGGATGGGGATACGCGAAATCTGATATTGGGAATTGGAACGAGAGATTCCACGGGGGTTACGGGTGGAGGAAGTGATCGTCTTAGTGCGTCTTTTGCATGGCAAGCTGTCAGCACGCTGATGTTCATTAGGTGTTGTTGGTGACATGTGGGTGGGATTTTGATGTGAGGCCTGGCGCGGGTTGGGTTGGTTTCCGGGGTTCCCCGGGGGGACAGGGAAGGGTGGTGTTGACGGAGACGAGGAGGTACGGGGGTTTGGTTGGGTGGGTGGCCTGAGATGGGGGATGTGATGGGTTTCTTTTGGATATCGGAGATGTGAGAGTCGATGGGTTGACGGGAGCGTGTGTGGTGTTGCGAGGTTGCGTGTGTGGTGTTGCGAGGTTGCGTGTTTGTTGTTCATCATCTAGCTGGCGTAAATGCGAAAGGGACCTGTAACATGGCGAGAGAGCTACCCAGAGCCATGGACCGGTCGCGGAGCAAGCTGTGAATATGGGTGGCATGGATTTTTGACAGGTCTCACGGTTCAGAGATGGAGGCGTGGAATGGATGGAGCGGGACGGATTCTGTGTGTGTGTTGCATGTTGGATGGGGGGCAGCGGCGGTTGTTCTAGCCCCGCTTGACCGGAGTAGAGGCCGTTCGAATTGGTGTGTACATGTCATGATGCAGTCTGCCTCTTCAGGGCCAAGGGACTTTGGTGCGCTGCCCATTCTTTTCACCGTCGAAGCCGTGGCTTGCATCAAGAGCGTCGTGAGTGGCCGACGGGCGCAGAATTGTAGATTGCGAGATTCTGGGAAGCGGGGGAAAGGGGAGGGGATGTCGGCGAACGATGGAGACGGGGCGTCGGAGGGAGGGAGGGAGGGTTGCACGACGTGAGAGGTGTTGATGGATCAGATTTGCAGAGGCTCTTTCTTGGTATTCCGTGAAGACGCGAGGCGTTGGTATTTCGTAGATGCTACTACAGGCGGTGGAGGCCTAGACTTGGACGAGGCATCGTCGTTTAGGGACGCGCCGCTGCGGAGCTGCCGCGCCCGGGGATGGATGGATGGATGGGTTTCTTATCACATGCTTTTTTCCAATGCTGTCTCCCGTACCTCCCCGGTCAAGATTAATCTGTCACTTATCCTGTATGTAAGAAGGAAGTGGTGCTGGAGGTGGAGGCGGGCAGCAGGAGGGAGCCGCATATGCGAGAGATGGATGGATGGATTGGATGCACGTCGTCTTGTTTGGGTATAGAATGGGCTTGTTATTGACAGTGTGCGGTTTGGGGGGCTTGGCTGTTTGGTTCGCGAGGCTGCGGCGGCCCAGAACCAGCTCCCCTCCCCGCCAGGCGAAGGAGGGGGTGGATGGGACGTCTCGATGCTTCTTGTCTCTTTACGTGCGTCTCTCTTGTCTCTGTCTTCTTTTCTGATTGATTGGCCTGCCTCAATGTATGGTCCCCGTCACCAATCCGTCAGGGTATCATCAGCACGTTATCTCTAGAGTCCGAACCAACCCACTTCTACACCAAGACCACGCACCCACTACCTGGCCCCCGCTCAGCTGCAAGGCGGCCGATCAGGCGAGTACTGACACGTACCTACGCGGTACTCGAGGTGAAATGAAGGAGGTTGGCAGCGGTAGTTGAAACGATGCGGACGGGGGCGTGGTTGATGGCGGGCGGGTTATTGTTCTTTTTGGTGTTTTGTGAAAGGGATGCCGCGCGGGCTTGTACACCGGCTGCACAGTGAGCGAAGCGGCGCGGGTTCTGGAACGGCCGGGGGCGAGTTCTCGGTCAGGAACGGAGGTGGTGGGTGGTGTTGCGGCCGGAATGGCGTGAGGAGGGAGGACGAAGTGGTTGATGGAGGTATTGCCGCGAAGGACGGACGGATGGAGTTTTGGGCGCCGTGTCGGGTCGGGAGTGGTGGCCTTTCTTTTCTTTTCATTTGGTAATTGTGGCATCACTATTCCTCCTCAAGACCGGGTTGATGTCAGGCGTTTTGGGAGGATGCTCAGCTGCCTGTGGCGAAGGCGACTTCAGGGGGGATGCGGAAGCTGGCGCAGAACATGCGCTTCTTGGGCGCGACGTCGCGGACGTCGTAGATTGTCATCTCGCCCTGCTTGTCCGCATCGCCGAGCTTGAAGCGGACGCCGAGCTCCTGGTGGACGCGGTCGAGGATGTCGTTCAGGGGCACCTCGTCGTCGGACTTGAGGGCGAAGCAGTGGACGTGGACCATGGGCAGCTTGGTCGAGGTGTGCGGCTCGAAGAGCTTCTCGTGGCCCGCGTAGATGCCCTTGTAGTGGTGGACGAAGGTGTAGGCGGAAGCGGGCAGGTTCATGACGAAGTGGGAGATTGTTGGCGGGACGGGGATGCGTTTTGGCTCAGGGGGAGGGTTTTGGGGTTTGCTTCTGGACTGTTTGGGTTTGATGATGGCGGCGTCGCCGCGGGTTGAGGCGGCGTAGACCTCGTGAACTGCCTCTTGGATGAACTTGCGGCCGTCCATGTTGTAGGGTCGGACGTATTGTGATACCTGAGGGGTTGATTAGTTGAGACACTTTGTGTAAGGTATTAGAGAGACGGACCTTGTTCTTCTCGACGGCAGCAGTGAGATACTTGAAGCTCTCTGGGTTCATGTCGTTGGCGAAGACAAAGACACCCTTCTTTCCCGCCGGTACAGCGAAAGGTCCGATGCCAGCCATTACATCGGCAACGACCTCGCCCGGTTGGAACATCTTAATGAGCCTGGTGTGTTCCGGCTCGAGCTTGCTGTTCCAGTAGACCTTGGAGTAGTCGAACTGGAAGACGCAGTCGTTCTCCTTGACCTCGACGTTCATGTCGTCGGGTCCGCTAAGAACTTCATAACCGAAGGTCCTAAACTCGGACTCGTCGCCGACGTTGTCGACTTTGTTGATGACGGTGCGGATTTTGGGGTTCTTGTCGAGGATGACCTCGGCAATGATCTTCTTGTAGGGGAGGTACCGGTCCCGGAGGTTGAGATGGGCTGGTGTGGTAAGTAATTGCATCTCGCGTGAGTCTCGCGAAACTTACCAACGTGTCCCGCTGTGTTGAAACCCACGGGAATCTCGACATGAAGTTCTTCAGGGAGAATGGAGGTCATCACGTCGACTTTTCCATGAGTCAGCCCGCATCCCAATCGACACACGATCTTCACTCACGATAGCTCCAGTAATCGTAGTCAAGCTGCAACTCATACGGGATGACATCCAGTTCACCGCTCTTGATACCCTCCTGGAACACAGGTCCCCATGTCGTCGGTGCTGGTCGGCCGTGTTAGTCATACCCCTCACTCACAACTTCATCAGGTGGAAAATACCGTCATGTTTCACACCAGGACGCAACAGCAGGCACTTCAGACCAGTATTTACAGGGTCAGAGCGGCAAGAGTCCAGACGGTCCAGATCTAGAAGCTCCTTGGACTTTTCAAGTTGCTTGCGGTACTTTGAAATGTTGCGGTTGTCCTTGACAGTCGCCGCCGCAAGCTTCACGGTTTTGGAGAAGAGCGAGCGGTCCAGAGACGTCGCCGCGCGGGCAAGAGGCACCCGGAAGCTTATCATCTCGTCAGAATCAGGGGTCTATCTAGGTATTAGTTCTTCCGTTCTAGCAGCGACCGTGCATGAGCGTTACTTACTGCCATTTTGATGAGTCGATGGAGGGGGGACGATCATGGAGGGGCAAGGCTGAGGAAAATTCCGTTTAGGGCTGAGGGACAGGGGTCATTGTAGCATGTGGCGTATGTGGCGCAGACACGAGGCTGTCCTCGACTTCGGGCGCGCTCAGTGGCCCGAGCGTCCAAGCGTGATGTCACTGAAGCTCCACGATGTAAGCGTCATTGATGATTGGACGAGAGGCATCAAGGGATGGGATAGCATCTGTCGACTTAACTCTATCCACGAGACTGGATTGATGCGAAGTCACTTGCTCAATTTCATTCGTTGGAATTTGAGCAAGAATCCAGCGGTATGGTTGTTTCCGTTTGAAGGAAGTTTGTTCTGGCGCATACATGTGGCGACGATTCAACGGTCCCTGGCTGAACCGAGCCTTCTTTTCACTTACACACCACCAATCACCGTCCACCTCGCAAACCATGTCGAAGAAGAGAACTTTGGACGCGTTCTTCGCGCCGAGTGCGAAAAAGACGCGAAAGGAGGATGAGACTGTCGAGGCTGTACGTGTTCTCAACCTGTGATGTTGCAGAGGCTAACAGACTGCCAGGTCGGAAAGTCAACTCATCTGAACTATCCCTGCCCCATCTTACAGCTAGCGCCTAGCATTAGCAAAGAGCTCTCATCTCTGCCAGCGCGTCCGGGTAGGGAAATCAACGACCAGCCAGACCTTGACTTGCTCTACTTCGAGCCATACGTTCCGTCATATCTGGCAAAAGATCTCTTTGAGTTCCTCCGGGCAGAGCTGCCTTTCTACCGGGTTGAATACGACATCAACAGGGGCGGCATCAAAACTCATATTCGCACGCCAAGGTAGGCTCTCGTGTTCAACACCTCGTCTTGAAAGCCCTTTGACACGTGGCCAGGTGGACAACGGTCTTTGGCCTCGACGACACAGCACGCTTCGACGAAGATGGCTCAGTTGTAGACGTCAAGTCCGGATTCAAGGTCGAGGACAAGCGATACCAAAGGTATCCGCCTAGGCCGATTCCCAAGTGTCTTGACGACCTCCGCCGCTCCACCGAGGCCGCGACAGACTGCAAGTTCAACTTCTGTCTGGTCAACTACTACGCCTCGGGGACAGACAGCATCTCATTCCACAGCGACGACGAGAGATTCTTGGGCCCAGACCCAGCGATCGCTTCGTTCTCCCTCGGCGCAAGGCGAGATTTTCTCATGAAGCATAAGCCCATTCCTCCAGACCCGGAGAATCCGGATAGGCCAGCCCCGAAACAACTCAAGTTGCCCCTAGCCAGCGGCGACATGATTCTCATGCGAGGACGCACGCAGTCCAACTGGCTGCACTCGATCCCCAAGCGAACCGGGAAGAACGCGGAAGACGGCGGGAGAATCAACATCACTTTCAGACGCGCAATGGTGAAGGATGGAACTGAGAATTACTATAACTACAACGTCGGGACCGGGCCGGTCTATCGGTGGGACAAAACGATGCGGGAAATGCGGGTATCTTCCGCCAGCGACCAGCTCAAAGAAAAGCCATGAGAACTCTAATCGGGTATATGCGCAATGCCATTGCTTATTTGCCTTTGCGGAACTGTGCGCTTGCGAAGTTGCGGAGCGCCCTCAAAAAGACTTGGTAACCGACGCCCTGGTTGTCGGGCAGGCAGAAAATCTCGGTGAGGCGGATGGGCCAGGGAGGGTACCCGTCGAGGTCGACGTAGGGGCCGAAGTGGATGAGCAGGTCGGGCTCGGGCATGATGCCCTCGGACAGCTCGGCGTCGATGAGGTCGATGCTGATATCGCGGGGGTGGATCTTGCCCCTCTGGGACATCTCGGCGAGAGTGCGGGTGAGGTCGACCATGGACTCGCGGCCGTCCTCGGCGGAGATGAAGAGGACCTTGAGGTGGCGCGGGTCGACGCTGGCGAAGTCACCGTGGGCCGGGGACTTGAGGATTTCGTCGGCGTGAGGCATAGCTACGGTGAGAGAGGGCTGGTGTCGGCCAAAATAGGCGCGAGACTTTTGGATGATGGCCTGCTGGACGTGAGGCAGGTAGCGCTTGAGGAGGCCTTTGAAGGAGTTAGTCGCCGTCGCAATAAAGTAGCAAGGAATACGCACCTGTCCGCTCGTACACCGTCAAGACGGGGATCTTGGCGCAAACGCACCAGACAGCAATCTCAGCCGCCTCGCCAACCAGTCTCTCCAGCTCAGCTCCATGTCTGCCGCCCTCTTCCATCTTCAGAATCACGCTGAGGTGCTTGGGCTTCTTCTTCAGCCCCACGACGTCGCGCTCAATGTACTCTGGTGTCCGGTGGTGGTAGAACATGACGGAGGAGACATGATAGCACACCAGGTGCCATGCCTGTCGTATCCTAATGTACAGAGAGAATATGGCGTGGATGACGGTGTAAATGAACAGGTGAAGCTTCTGACGAAGTGCGCGTCGCAGGCCAAACCGGCCGGGACGAGGAACATCTCCCTCTCGCCATTGCTGTCTCGTGTCTTCCTCGGGTGTCGGCAGGTAGTTCTGGATGCGCAAAGTGTCAGCTGATGGTCCCTCGACAAGCTCCGGAAAGGACAGCTCTTCCACGTACGTTGATGATTTTCCTGCGGTTCTCCTCGCTAATGACACCGTTTTGGTATTTATCGTCGGTCCTGTAGGCCCTGCGATCTCTCGCGTTGAGCGCCATCTTGGGAGGAGGTTGGGTTCTCAGCGGCGCGGTCAGTCAACAGGCGCGGTGTCGGCGGCGTGTGGAAGCTGCAGGTGGGATGACGGGCGTAAATCTGTTGAGGGAGAAAGAAAAGTCGAGGTTCGTTCGGCCGGCGCTGACCTCCGCGATGCGCTGATATCAGGCGTATATGTGGTCACTCTGGGGTCGTACGCGGCGTGTATGCGCAGTTTGCCGTTTGCTCTTGGCGGGAGGATGACGACGTCTCGGGGCGAGGAAACTTGTTGAAGCTGGCTAAGTCGGTCTTGTCGGCAGGTCCACGGCAGCTGCCATGGATTTCCAGATGTACACGGTAATACGACATTGGTTGGGCTGGTGGATTCCTAGTGGATGCTGCGCCGCTACGTCCAGCAAAGCTCCCTGTGGCTGAGGGCTCAGCTGAGCTGTGCTGTCCCGATCTTGCACTTTTTGGTGGGCTCCGGCCAGGGAGATTGGCGGCCGGAGATACGTACCCGACCTGCCCTGCATTTGACCATCTTAGCCACCCGCTGGCAGCCGAGGGCACGGACTCCACCCGCGACAAATTGGGCAGACTTTCGGGGCGCTCGACCTGACATGTCACGGCATCCCCGTCCGGACCATCGGTTCTCCTGGCAAGGTTCAATTTGACTTCCGTCAGTCACGTTGCTTTCCTTCTCAACGATAATGGAGCAAGTCATCTTCGAATTCTCATAACTCATGATCTACCTGAATCGTAGTCTGTGCCATAGCCAGTTCTCGTGTCGCCTCACGAGCTCATTCGTTGCCAGTTCATTCGTCTCGTCGGGAACCAAGGCCTCCTAGGATGTGATCACCGACATCATCCTCACTGAGCCGCCTTTCTTCCCATCAAGCATTCAATCTCCTTTCCACCATTCGAGGAACCAGGGACGTTGTAGTACACTCCCTCGTATCCCTCGTCGTCCGAGTAGGAGACCGGAGTCATGGTTCCAAAATCGTACTGGAAATCGAGTCTGTATCCCTCCTCCGTCAGAAGCATCTCGGTCTTGTCCTTCTCCTTGTTCACGTCGCGGTTCATGCGGCCCGTCTTGTCGATGATCTCTCCATTCGTGGCCTCCATGGCACCCAGAGCAGTCATGCGGGGGAAGGCTTGCTTGAGGCGGGCTTCCTCACCCCGGGGCTGGTCGCGGCGCAGCTGCCACTCCTGAGCGCCGTACTTGGCTGCGGTCTCAACCCAGGCCTCGCTGGTCTTCTCGTGCTGGTTCATGGCCTTGTCAAACTTGTTGAACTGACGCTTGATGACGCCCTCCTCGCTGTCGTGGTGGACGATCCAATCAGCATTGGCGAAGATGGAGTACACCAGCTTCTTGAGGCCGCTCTCGTAGTTGTCCTCTGATCCGTTGCGCAGCTTGCCGTAGATAGCAACCCACTTCAGCAGAGCGCTCATGAGGCTGCTATCGAGGTCAAAGTTCTTGGGGCATTCGCTGAGGATGATAGACACGCGCTGGATGAGAACACCGGTCAGACCGGGAAGGGACTCTCGCTTGTGGTGCTTCTTCCAGTCCTGCAGACATGAAAATATTAGTAAAGCGCATGCTAATAAAAATTTCGGCGACTCACGAAGAACTCATTAACTGCTTTGTTCGCCTGCAAGAGGCTGAGCTGCTTCTTCGACATCAGGAGACTGATGTTTGGGTTATCACCGCCTGCCATTTTGTTGTTGAGATTGTGTTACCGCACCACAAAACTTCTGTGGGGCAGGAAAGATGCCGTGAGTGGAAGGTGAGGAAAATAAGAGGAATGTGATGGAAGGACTAATTGGAACAGGCTTTGAGCGTGGTTTGTGAAGAAAGGACCTGACTGTCAGAGGCAGTGAGAATTCTTGCTTTGGAAAAGGGAAGTTTGTTGACGCAGCAAGCCTGAGTTGCCTTCGAAAACGTTGTCTGAGGCAAGTAAGGCCGGCAGGTAGCTCATAAACAAGACGAGTGCGGAAGCTTGGAGGCGGGAGGAGAGAGCAAAGCTGCTTTGGGTGGGTCTGCACACACCGCAGCAATCTGAAAGAAATGAGTAAGAAGGAGTTGTGAGGTACCTAGGAAGTTGTCAAAGGAGGCAAGAAGCAGCTGAGGCGGTTCAGGGAGATGAGGACGGTTCGTGCCTTCCACTCTGTATTCAGGGACACCGCTCCAGATGAAAATTTCAACACTTCGCAACTACCTTATGTAAAAAGAGACCGCCTATTTTTCCCGTGCTAGAGCGACAAATCTTCCTGTGGCTCTAATTTCTACCTTAATATCGTCGTCGTCGGCGTCGCTATCGCTTCTATCGAAGGAGTAATCAGATACACAGTAGGTGCAAACACAAGAAGATTTAGCGGTCTCTTAAGAAAGAAAAAGGCTAGTGGGTACATAATTCATTTAAACAATGATAGCTATCAACGGTGTTGATTGAGAAGCTCCTTGGTCTTGGAGGTTTCTCTGCTCTCCTTGAGCTGCTTTCTGACTTCCTGGCGTGATCCTAAAGGGTGTCTTTGCTTGCTGAGTTATTGTGTTTGCGTCTGCCTTCAGCACCCCTGTATTATGAGTATACCTGCCAAATATATAAAGCCGATGACACTACCTCAGTGAAAATTTGACATATGTGATATTGCTTGCGTGACTGCGATTGATCTAATAAGACGATAAAGGTGGCCAGATACAGCATTTGAAGAACGCATTATCGTGCTGGGAAAAACCATCGACACAAATAAGCACCATACAATTCAAAAAAACGTGATTGACGACGGCCTACATGTATTTCCTCTGGCCTGCTGAAACAATCGCCAGTCCCTCAATAAAGGAGCTGTCATCGCGTACCAACCCGGAGACTAATGGCGGTTGACAGGGGTGAAGAATCCGCAGAAGAAATACAAGTTTCTCGCCATTGCCATCAATGCCGATTTATCAGTATCTGGTAACCACTTTACGGAAACTCCCTGGCAGGTGTCGACTTTGAAGAGGCTTCGGTCATCATTGTCTGAATAAGTCGAAGATCATACTGCCAAAGATGACGGACGGGAGACCTCTCTATTACACGGACGCTGGACCTGGTCACAAACCTTCAGTCCACGTAACAACCAAGCATGGACGAGATCATGTTCGGCGGTTCTCAAAGTTCGACACAATGAGCGGATTGTATTTGATGGACTAGACACAACAGTGACGGACTGTTTAAAGGAACTCAAGGTGGCGCCTTCAACGCGAACCAGGCAAGCTGGAAGCCTCTTACCCCGCAAATAACTTCACCATTTCATTGCAATCATACAAGGGTCCTGAAATGCCCGATGCAACTGGATCAAGATCCGTTTTCAGAATTGACAAGTGTCTAGGGCACAATTTGACGGAGCCTAGTAACGAATGATTTCCTTTTCATTTGGAATTTACATAGAGACAGAGCCGAAAATACCCTTCAAAGTGATAACCGACATTGAATGAACATTAGAAGGCTCTGCTAATATGCATGTATACAGTTCTGATACTACTGAGAATGACGACGCCAGCCACTGAGATGATCGCAACAACATCGATCCGCACAAGACGTCTCTTGGCGTTGGGAATGGCCCTTGACTCATATCGGCTATCGTTGCTCGAAGTTTCCTTGAGGAACACACGGTATATGCCAAGCGCCGCATTGCGTTCTGGGCATTGAAAGGTTGAGCGGCAAACGTCATCTTATAGCAATGGGACAACAACTTAGTATCTACCCGAGGAAGTAGCTACTTTGGACTCGTGAGGGCGCTCATGTGATGCTATAATGCTTCGAAGCAGTCCAATATGCGTATAAATACTCCATAATTGTAAGTTCAAGTCAGGCAACGCAATTTCGTTCTTGGTGGCGTTCTTGGTGGCGTTAGGAGACGAATGGGTCTGCGCAATCACCAAAGGTTCGACAAAACCAGCCTTCTTTCCGGTTAATTCAGATCTTCAGAGTTTGTTGAGAAAATATTCATAACAGACGAAATCACTAACTGTCGACGTCCAACCCTATCCGTCTATTCCTCGCAAGTATTCAGTGACATCACTTGAAATCATCACTGCGCTGCAACATTTCGGTCGTGTGTACGCTCTTCGAGATCGATGCATGGCGGTCAGGTATGTAATGCAGGGTACCCTAAGAACGAAGAAGTTGGAAGGCATTGGGTTGCCGCCTTCTCAGCTGCCATTTATGCCGCTTTTATACCAAATAATTCTGTAGATGTTTCGTCCTTCAGCTGCTTACACATAGAGACTAAGAAGGCATCTTATTCTTGGTAAATTCCAGGGAGATGTGAAATTGGGTATAAATGGCAGTATGATTTCGAATCTAACAATCGGCAGCCTGCGAATCTGGCGATTCCGATTGGAGATCTCGACCTTTTCATCAACAAAGCTGAGGTCAGAACATCAGGCGCATCATGTACGACGAGTATAGTTTAAGCCATGTATGCAAGAACTCACCGAAAGGGCCTTTGGTGTTTATTAGCAGCCTAATAGCACGCCGGAGACGGAGGCAGATGGGACCGCTGCGGAGATTTTAGAAACGGTTGGCCCTGACTTTACATAACCTTTCCAGAAAGGAAAGGTTGTCTGTATGTTTCGTCACACATCCAAGCTTCAGCATGGACACAGTGGAAGGCCATTGGCTGTAGTTTGGGATCATAAACAGAAGCGGCGCGGGATTTAAATAACGCAGCGTCGTGTAGGCCTCGTGGGGAGTAATGCCCTCTACTCAGTGGCCGTATAAGTCTCTCACTGCTTCACCGACCTCTCTCAGACTTGGGGGGGGGGGGGGGGGGGGGGGGGGGTGGGNGGGGGGGGGGGGGGGGGGGTATGGCTAGAGTTGACAATTGCCTTTAATTATGAAGATTTTTGATTCAAATACAAAACAGCGCCAACACAACTTCTACGAAGTCCAGCCGAGACATCAGCGCAATGCCCAACTAGTGTGCTTCACTTTATGGCCGTATTACGAGGACAATGTTCACAGCCATCACACGCAAACATGGGTGTTTCCAAGACCCGAAGTGAGCAGAGATAGATTATGTGGGCTATCAGGGCAGAAATTGTGAATATGTTTGGAATAGTTGTTCTGTCTGTGTGATCTTCTGCACCGTCATTCCTGAAGCAAGCATATATGCTTCTCCGGCTCGCTGCGCTAGCAGGACCGAGAACGAATCCACGTCGAAGCATCCAGACGTGCCCTCCTCCCTTTACCGACAACGTTGAACCTCCGTGGCGAAGATTCGCCCAGATCATCGCTGAAGATCCCATAGCATGGGCCGCCGAGTGTCTATGTATCTAGACCGAGCCGAGAGAAGACTCGGAAGAGTATGAGGTAAGCATCTGACAAGGCCGCCTCTATGAGATGAGCGTGGTCTGCCAGGGCGTTGCCATGTGCGTTTGGGCGATTTTATTGCTTGCGGATGTGATCTGCTACCGGGTGGATGAGTTCACGAGCTGGCCCGGCCTTGGAACCAAGGCTGGCTACGCACAGCTTACTTGCAGTGGCCTCGTGGTAAAGAACCTGGCAGAAAATGAAGCTGAGATTATGACCCGGAGAGCTTCATCGAGGGTAGCAGGGCTTATCCGGGGCACCCTCATATCCAACAGCTAGCATGCTTCCGAGGCGGGAGATCTCCCGCCAGGAATGTTTCGTACTCATCATCGTATGGAACCCGTTGCGTCGTGTGTTTTGCCCAAGTCCGCCATAAACTCGACACTGCTTCATGGCACGCTGCCCGCCTGCCACTTATCCAACAAGCCGACATTCCATTCCTTGAAAACCCGCTCACTCGGCGGGAGCATCTCAGTACTACTCTGCAGAACCTCCGCACCTCGAGAAATATCCGCCATGGGAAGATTCACCTCCTGCACGTCCGACGTCATGGTCTCCAGCATTGCGTCCGCCTCGTGCTGGGGGATCTCGCGATACAGCAACTTGATAGCAGACCGCTTGCCCTCGCGCCCGGAGGAGGCATACGCGATGTTGCTGTTGAGGATCCACAGGTGCAACGAAGGAGATGAGTTGTCACTGGTGCTCACGGTCTGGGGCGACGAGAACGTCGGCACCACAACCGATTTGGATGAGCCCGATCGTGACAGGGTTGCTGTCAGCGACGCAGCGAGGCAGTCGGAGCTGCTGGGCGGGGTGCTCTCAACGGCCGTCCGGCATGACACTTGCCACTTAAAGAGAAGGACGGACGAGATGGCGACGTTGAAGAAGCCGACGTGGGTCCTGCAGCCAGAGCAGAAGACGTAGAGCATCCGCGGTGGAGGGTCCGCTTCGCCAGCCAGGACTGCTGAGCTGGTTTCTGAGCCGGCTTCGTAAGAGGAGCAAGAGAACTGCACAAAGGAGACGTAAGCAAAGGAGATTGAAGAAGGAAGAAAACGCGAGATGCTGCATGTCCCTCTTGGTAATCCCGAGGCTTCCACGGCTCTGAAAGTCCCCAGTGAAAAGAAGAGGGTGTCTTCTTCCAAGCCCGCCAAACCCATCTGCGAACAGAGGTTTCAGTAAGCCGGAAGCCTGCTGGGCAGGAACGACGGAGTATCGATCTTGGGGCGGAGTATCGGTGACCACATCACTGAGCGGCAGAAATGCCGATATGGCCTCCTTCTTAATGCCCCGTTCAGACATGTCACTGGAGAACTTCACGGTGAACAGAGAACGAAAGCAGAGTTTGCCACTTACCACGAGTCCCGAGCAGTCGGCTTCAGTAAACAGGAGAGACGTCAGGTCAACCAGACCCACGCCGTTCTGCGCCGCGATGCTCGAGTTGGCACCGTAGCCACGCTGGGCAAGGTGCTCAGGTTCGTGACCGTGCTCATGATCCGTCGGCTTGTGGCAGTGCCAAAAGTCCATCATCTCAGCCCAATTCTCGCTCGGCAGGTCCTTCCACTCCTTCGCCGTGCCCTCCGGCACTACCGTCGCCGCGCAGCCCCTGCAAGCCACCGCCGACTCCGGCAGCAGATCGGTTGCCGCCCATGGTACGGGCTCGTCCACCGGCCCGCGTGCTGAAGGCGCCGATGCGTCAGACAGAGGCAGGCGCCATGAGAGGACGCGAGAGCCCGGGTGCGGTGCGGGGAGGACGCCATTCCTGGGCGCGACGACGTTGCCTGGGAGGGAGAACGGGGTTTGGGTGCCTGCGTGTGCGATGTGCAGCGTTGAACCGTCTGGCGAGACGCTGCCTTGCGTGCTTCTTTCGGCAGGTGAGGGCAGGGTCACTGCGACGGACAGCTGGCGGATGTTTGCCAGGAGCTCCGCGTAGATGACCGGCGTGTCATGGGAAGACATGTTGGGCGAGCTTGGTTTGTCGGAGGTAGCAAGGTTTCGAAGCTACGCGCTTTGGGTGAGGTCAGATTTAAGCTGGGTGAGGCCCGCGTTAGGTGGAGTTTGGATGAACGCCGTGGGGCAAGAGACGCGCCTGGAGGTGCCACAGCTCAGCGCACCTGCCCCCGAAGCTTGAGTACTTGATCTTGCTGAGGCATCCTCTTCATTGAAAACATTATAAACACAAGGTATCTTTGTTACAGCCCGTAATTCCGTCGCCGCTGATAAGTCCTTTTCAAACTAGAACATGGAAAAGAAGGAAACTTGGTATCATCGAATATCAAAAAAATTAGGTCTCTGGGCGCCGTAACGTCCTGAGATTTGGTGGCCACTGATGAAGCTCATACGCCGGAGCTGGGGTATTTCCCTGCTCGTTCACCGGCTGACGGGGCGGATTTCGAATCCCTCTAAGATGAGCCAACTCAATGGGCCCTTCCACATTCTCAGGCTCTCTTCCTTCCTGGCTGAGTATCCTCCCTTCATTAGGGTCGACCCTGGAATATGGCGGTAACTCATCATCGACAGCAGCATTGGGATCAACCTCCCGATGGACCGCCGGCTCGTCGAGTCGCCGCAGGCGATACTCGGCCACTTCTCCGCGCGCGCCCGCCCTCCTTGTCCGCTCAATCTCGTCCTCGGGCTCTGGTGGATACAGTTCCGGCCGTTTCAGTCGGTGCCAAATCAATACCGCCCCGACGTAGGCGAGGCATCCGAGCATATGGCTGACGAAGGCGCACCAGGTCAGGGCCGCGAACGAGGACCCGACCGCATGGTACGGAAACACGTCGTCGAATTCGTCCAGGGCCGCCTTTGCTTTGTACGCTGCCGCCGTTGTGATGCCCGAAGCGACAAGCAAGGCGAACAGTGCGAGAACTTGTGCAGCCGTCATTACGCGGTAGTGGGAGGCGTTGAGAGCGTAGTGGTGTCTCTTGGAGATGATCTGGAAGATCCAGGTGCCCATGTTGATTGCCAGGTAAATCCCGTAGGACGCCAGCGCATCCCGTGTCGAGGTGACGACGTCGGCCGTCGCGAACTCTGCTGGCGATGGTCCCACGAAGCGGCCTTCTGGGTCCGTTATTGGACCGGCTTCCACATTGTCCTGCTCCCCCAGCCTGACTTCGACGTCTTGAATGATACTCTGCAGATCGAAAGCACTGCCGGGCGTTCTGTGTATGCAGCCCGCGAGCGCATAGCTGCTGTCGACATATGCCTCCTTGAAGCAGCAGCTACTCAGGAACCAAGTAAAAACAAATGTGCTCTGGCGCTGGCTCTCGGTCCGGCGATATACCGCTGACCACTTTTTCTTTCACGTCAGTGATACGCGCGTTGTGTCGAACAGTGTATACTGACTGTGACGAGATGTATGTCTTCGCTGTTGACTGTCCCACCAACCTGATTGGCATTGTGAACCCAACCGCCGACGCAAAGAGGTATAATGAGTGCTATTGCAACAGCGTCGAAGAAGAAAGCAGCCCATATACACCGCCGCCTGATGTTCCTCTCGTCCTGCTTCGAGAAGATGAATTTCTGGGCGGCGGGTGCTGCGTCCTCATCGACGTGCGCATCCATTTCCAAAGGATGAGGCGGTGTGTCTGTCCAGACTCACTCGTAGTCCTGAAAAATCAGTAAAGCTCAGAGAGCCACACATATGATCATAATCGTTCAACATGTCCAAGGAAGCCAGACAGAGACGCCCGGCCCTGGACGCGTGTACAACGAACGAGGTGCAAGGCTGGGAGGAGAAGCGCTCTGCGTCGTTGGTCGTCTCGCCCGGGGTCTGGATTGCGCGCCCTTCGAATGCCGCCTCAGTGTATTCGGGCAAGCGGCACAGCAGACGATGCGACTCGCTGGTGCAGCTTCCATTTTGGGCGGCCTAGCCGTCAGCTCTGGTAAGTCGGCAATAAAGATCTGCTATTCCCACCACTTGGTGGCTTGCTTCAATACATCTCATCAAGACTGGGCAAATCTTGGTTTCTTGGAGGCCAAAAACATCTTTGGAATAGAGATCAATGAATGCCAAGTCAATGCAAACACCTTGAAGCGCAGAATCTTTGGACATGGCAGGTGAAGGAAAGTCCAGCGCCAGGTCTGGTCCAGGAACAGCAAGACGCACAGACCAGTTCACTGGGTGACAGAAGCTCCCCAGTGGCCGTGCTCAACTCTTCCCAAACAGGACTAGTGTGGGAGCTCCAAGGTCCCTCTCAGATTTCCGAATTTCATCAGCGGCCTCCAAGTCCAACATTTCGATACGACAAGAACAGACAAGAACAGCCGAGCGAGACCCTGAATTCTGAAGAAAAAGAAAAAAAGGTCCCGCGACAAATACCTCAAACGTCCTGCTATCGCCTGTTTGTAGCTTCATAGTAGCCAGAAGTAACGCCAATTCCCGAGTCCAACCATCGAATCCAGACCGCAATCATGGCGACCCTCGGAGGCTACTTGAACAGTATGTCATGATCTCCCACCACACATCTCAGGCCATGATCCTACATTTGCTAACGTACTTGGAAACAGAGAAGGTGCTCATTGTCACAGTCGACTCGAGAATCCTCGTCGGCAACCTCGAAGCCGCGGACCAAAACACAAACCTCGTAAGGCACTGTCGGTCCTCGGAGCTCGCTCCCTCCTCTAGCAGCCGGCTAACCACGTTCATGCGCCCAGGTCCTCAGCAATGCCCAAGAGCGCGTGATCCAGACCCCCGAGAGTGGCGAGCCCTCCGTCGAAGTCCCCCTCGGCCTCTACCTCGTGCGCGGCGACAACGTCTGCACGGTCGGCCTCGTAGACGAGCAACTAGACGAGAGCATCAACTGGACTGAGGTCAAGGGTTCCGCCATTGGAGGAACGAAGCACGTATAGACAGGCGAAAACTACGACGAAGGGACAGCATGGCATCTGAGTCGAAAAGCAGGGATTGGTTTTCTTTTATTTAATTGCGAGCGGGATACCCGAGTATTGGGAAGATACGAGCCTGCCAGATGGAGGCGAGCAAGACGCACACACACAAAATCACGGCGTTGAATGTTTTCTGGGTTGGTAGAGAATGAACATTTGGGTTCCTAAGGGGTATGCGCCTGTCTTTTTCTATCCAATCTCCATGCCAGTCTCAATGCTGTTGTGCTGACACCGAAACGAGAAGCCCCCAAAGACAGTCAGGGGTCGTCGAATTCTATACATTTCAACCAAAGATTCTCTTCATCAGATCATGCGCGAACAGCTCCTCGCCGGGAGACCCGACCATCCTGTTGATCCTGTTGCCTCTGCTGTAGCTGAGCCAACCGCCGCAGTCGCCCGGCACCTCAGCCAGTGTAAGAACGTCGACACCCTCGCCGGTGGAATCGCTTTCGAGGGCCGCCTCGGTGTACTTAGCTCTGACTCTGCGGTCGATGACATGCATTCCGCGCGTCCATTGGCCAGAGGTTTCGATGCGGATGTCCTCAGGCTCCGCGACGGGCTTCCACTTGGGGTCGGACTGTGTAATGAGATACCAGACGGTGAGAGGGTCGTGTAGGGAGAGACCGGGCTCCTGGCCGTTGCCCTCCATAGACTCAACCTTCTCAAAGGTCTTGGACATGAAGTGGTCAACCCACTGTCCAAGAGGGCTGCCTGCCTCGACGATGGGCTTGATTCTCTCGGTGAAGAAGTTCTTGTTGAGCAGGTGGGGCGTTGTGATGTCGAGGGGGAAGAGAGTCAGCTTGAGCTGCTTGGAGAGCTTGGCTGGGTAAGGCGGGAGAGATGACTTCTCCTTCGAGATGGGAGGCATGGTGGAGCGGGGGTTAGGGGAAGTCAGAGCGAAGACTCGGGCCGCCGCGACGGTGTCGGCAAAGGTGTTGAATTCACCGACGGGAGTGATGTTTCCCTCAACGTGGACAGCACCGCCCATAACGCACAGCTCCTTCACACGGAGGAAGGTCTCGGGGTCCTCAGCAGCGGCGAGGGCGACGTTCGTCATGGGGCCAACGACGCAAATGGAGATGGTGTTGGGAGGGTTCTCCTTCAGGATGCGCAGAATCTCCTTGTGAGCGACCTGCTTGGCTGGTGTGAAGTACTGGTTGAAGGGGGACGGGTCGTGGTCAACGTTCTTCTCTGTGTGGAAGAGTGCCTTCCATCTGTCGTCGGGGGTGAGGTGGGGATGCTTCTCATGGACGCCGTGCAGACCATCGATGCCATCTGTGTTCGTTAGTGTTTGACATAGCATTTGGCAGGCGGTGTTCCTCACGGAAGTAGTCGGCTGCCAGCTCATCATCCTCAAGAGGATGCTCTGCCCCGACAGCTACAATAGGCTTATAGGCCCTCAACGACTCAAAACCCTCGGGCTTGCCGTTCTCCTTGCGCCAGGCCAACTCCTTCTCCAGAACATGGAACAGCGCAACCGCATTGCGTAGACAGCTTAGATTCGTCAATACCGAGAAGTCGACGGACACCGGGATGCATACCTCTGAAGAGGCACGTTGCCGTATGTGACTGAAATCATCATGACCTCCAACTCCTCAGGGGAGGCCGCGAGGGCCAAGAGCATGGCGAGAACATCATCGATACCTGGTTTGAAAGTCAGCCTCGCTATACGTCTTGATCTTGCGTTGGGTATTCTCACCAGGGTCGGTATCGATGATCACACGGTTCTTGGGGGCCATGGCTAGGGTTGTTGGGTATACTATCGTTGCTTTTCTTTTTCAGATGAAGAGACGAAGTGGTTTCGTCTCAAGTCTTGACGGTTTGCGACACGATAACAGACAGTATCTCGAAAGGGACCGTTGAATCGTTATATAAAACCGGATCCGCTGAGTCAGGCGGAGTTCGACGGATATCGGCGGTGGGTAGTGGTTGACGGAGTTGTCCGGCAGCGATTCTTAAATTCCTAACAGTGAGAGGTTCAAAGCTCTCTAGTTCGTCGTCCCGCAAGGGTTTTCTCGCATCAGTGACGGCGTTGCATAGAGATTCGGTAGGCGACGACCCCTCATTCCTAACTCTTCCTAACGTCGATGGTGGGGTTTAGTGGGAATCAGCGTCCTGGGGAAGGCCGCTAAGCCCCTTCAGGCGAGCGCAGGTGAGCGATAAGGGACAGCTGGCCCAGGCACCGCTGTTGCAGCTCTGTTATCGGGAAATGGGATCTGACATGCGGCAGGTTGCAACTCAAGGTTTCCAACATTGGATGAGGCGCGGGAAGGAAAGCCTCGGGAGCTATGGAAAGGAGCGAATTGGTGTCGCACACACGTGAGCCTGTCCATGGCTATTTTTACTTTGAACTTAGGTGACAGCTGTGATGTAGTGTTTTGTTCGCACTCTGGTTTCTCTCGCTCGATGGAAGAGCTAGCGACGTTCCTCGGCACCTGATTGCCTCCTTCTTCAGCAGGGGAGCTCCCATCTGTGGAAGGCACCTTCCCGGAGTTATCAAAACGCCGCCTATCTGCTACATCCAATGAGAAGATCGAGAGTAAGACGATCACGTGTGGACAGCTACCTCAGTGCAGAGGCCACGTGACCTCTGCGACCTCTGCAGCTTGCAATTACTCCGAAGCCCGTGCTTGGAGGACGGATCCTAGCGTCCCGGTCCCTTCCACCCGTGGAATTGCGAAGCTGTCACTTTCAAGGTGGCCCAGGAAATTACATAACAAGGCCCTGGAGAGATAACCTCATCCTGTCCACTTCTCCAGCTCAAGCTCTGGAGAAACAACAAGCTCGACGATCGGTCAATGCGACTGCCTCAAGGTGAGTGACAATTTTTCTGCGCTTCAATCCAATCGCCTGTTCAGCCTTGCGAACCACCTATTCCCTCCTGTCATTTCTTTTTTTGCTACACGCAATTTGGTCTGGACACTTCCCTCTTGCCGGTGTCTTCGCCTCCGGCTTCATCTCAGCTCTCCGGCCAGACCAAACACATCCCTGGGGCACCTGCGACTCGCGGCAACGACACCAAACCCGATTCGTAATTCCCACTCTTGGGGGATTCGGATGCACACCGGGTACGGTGCAGCAGCGCAGCAACAGGAGCATCAGCAGCAGTAGCAGCAGCAACACTTCTGCGGCGGTCGGGTCTTGAATCCGTGACGGGACCCCTTCCCTTGCCCGAGTCCTGGTCTGTCAGAAATCCTCATTGCTGGTACCTTAGTGGACTGCTAGCACCAAACTGGACCACCGGACGACCACACCCATTGGCGCCCATTGGATATTTGCTGAGAAGCCACCTGGTAACTTTTTTTTGCCTGCTCCTTGCTCTTGCCAAGCTACCTAGCATCTGAACACGACATCCTGCCAGTCTTTCAATCGCGTGGTTGAAACACCTCTTTCATCACCCTTTTGCCTCTCTTCCCTTCTCTTGCAATTTTCACACCTTCCCGCCCCCATCATTCCTGCACATTATCTGCATCGAGCCATCAATTGTTGCGCCCGATTGCATCCCTCTGTATGTGCCCGTCCGCACCTGCCCCAGCTACCCTGGATGAATGCATCCTACTCAAAGCTTAACTCAAATCTTGCCCCGATGCTAACTTCACATTGAACAGACATCCAATCCTCTCCGCTTCTCCAGCACCCGTGAAGCACGAAGACACGCCTTGTGTTATCTCGGCATAGGTTTCGGTACTGCTCCGATAACCAACCGTCTTCGATCGCACCTTGCAAGCTTAATCAACAACCCCCTTAATATCCATCGCAAAGCAAGTGCCTCAAGCCTCCAATACAAGTCACAATGCCCACTTCCGAGTTCCTCACGACCCAGACTATGGGCGGGTACCTGGTGGTTCTTGCTCTGGCCGGAGGTCTGACCTACTACTACATGGCCGAGAAGAACGGCAAGCAGATTGCTCCCAAGGGAGTCAAGCCATACGTCGAGCCGCGCAAGGAGAACAACGCAAAGAAGGCAAGAAAGGCTGCCTTTGCGTCGCAAAAGCCTGCAGAGGACAAGGCCTCTTCCACCGCAGTTGCCAACGACTCATCTGCTTGGCTGAGCAACGACCCTGATGAGAAGGTCGACAACAATGATTTTGCCAAAAGAATGGCCGCCGCAAAGGAGGGCAAGAAGTTCGATGGCAAGTCTTCTGGAAACAAGGAGAAGAAGCAAAAGTCCGTCAAGCAGTCCCGTGCTGTTGAGAAGCCTGTTGCGGTCGCCGAGCCGGAGCCCGCTCAGGCCCCTGCCGTCGAGGCTGTTGAGGAGTCTCCCGCCGCTTCCCCCGAGGTCGCGCCCGTTGACGCCAGCGGAGTCAGTGACATGCTCGAGCCCGCCGCCGGCGGCCCCTCTGTCCTCCGCCTGACTGGCACCGAGGAGAAGGCCACCAAGCCCAAGAACCAGAAGGTCCCCGAGAAGGCTGAGACCAAGAAGCAGCGCCAGAACCGCCAAAAGGCCGAGGCCAAGAAGGCTGCTCGCGAGGAGGAGGAGAAGGAGCGCAAGGTCAAGCTCGAGAAGCAGCTCCGCACCGCTCGCATCGCCTCCGGCACCCCCGCCAAGGACGGCTCCCAGTTCATGGCTGCTGCCAACGGCAAGAACTCCTGGACCGCCGGCAGCCCCAACGGCGCCTCCACCAACGGCAGCTCTGCCGCCGTCCAGCCTCTCGACACCTTCGACGCTCCTGCTCAGAACGGCACCTCCGCCGCCGCTGCTCCCGCCCCGGCCTCCGACAACTGGATCTCTTCGCTTCCCTCCGAGGAGGAGCAGATGGAGCAGCTCAAGCAGGAGGATGAGTGGAACACCGTCTCCAAGAAGTCCAAGAAGGCCAAGAAGGAGGTCCAGGCTGCCGAGCCCGAGGTCGAGGCCCCCGCCGCCGCCGCCGCTCCCGCCCCGGCCCAGTCTCGCCCCATCGCCCAGGCCGTCCAGAAGCCGGCTGCGTCCAACGGCAAGGCTGCGAAGCCCGCTCCTTCCTACGGCTCTTTCTCCGCCCTGAGCACCCAGGAGGAGGAGTGGGACGTATAAACGGTCACGCACCCTCATTGTTCTCCAGGACATTCCCCTCTAGACGCACGCTCCTACATCATATCCCATCACCGGGCGTCGTCTGACTGTCACTTGTTATTTTAACTGTACAATACTTCTTCCTGGAGTGCGGACCAACGAAAAACTCTCACATGCATCCCCTTTCGACGTCATGGAGGGGCGCCGAACTCGAGTCGATCGCATCCGCGCAAGGCGGACACGCGGCCGGGGAAGGCACGTGGCTTGCCATCGGCCTATCGCGCACACATACAAAAAAGATCTCAGCATCGGTATGGGATCTGGAGTTGGGGGACATTGGCCAGCGGGCTAAGTGATTTGCACATGCTTTTTTCGATTTCTCTCTCTCTATTCGGCTTCGAGACCTGACGTGTGACGAAGCGGGGGATGACAACGACAGATCACGATGTCGATGAAGCGAGGTAGTTGGGTCTCGGGGCGAAAGCGAACAAAATGGAAACTCTCTTAGGGCAAAATTGGTTGAATCACATGGGAAACGGCCATGGCACGTCTGTCGTTGTGTGTTTAGCGCAGATTCCCGCAAGATACTTTCAATAGGTTTTTTTTTCACCCCGTCCTATGTCTCGGGCTATGCATGTCTTTCGTTGTGAACATCACTTTTTCGCTGTGACGACTGGTGGCTCCTTTGAATATTTTTTTCCTTCCGGGATCGTGCCGGCTGGATGTGATTAGTTGCGACCCCACGTTCATGCGATGCACGCCCAGTCCCGCCACGGCATGCTCTACGATTTTTACACGGGATATGGCTGCGCTCACCAAAAGTCGACGAGACTGGGGTAAGCTGTCTTGTCTAGCATGTGAGAGAAGCCAGTTGGCGGAGGGACGGGAGTGAGCAGCCGGCGTCTACGTGTGGGGGGCCACGCGCGCGATTTCGACTGACCGCCCCTTTCCGATGGACGATGGTGATGGCCAGAGTCGATCTGCGAGATCTTTGGGGTTGAGACATGCATGAGCCGGGCTGATGCGGGTTGTAGGTTGTGTGTGGTGAGGTGTTGTTGCAGCGGTTATTGACTTTGGTCAGATGGACTAACTCTTATTCTGTGAGATGCATGGGGGCTAAGGGAGGTAGTTTTGCAGTAGCGGTGGTGGTGTTTGTCGCATGGCGGAGATTGAGGTGGGCGGAGGACGGCAGGATGGATGGGCGGCTGCGGAGGTTCGGGGACCGGTTGAGCGAGTGGGGACGGGAGGTTGGCGGCGGCCGGTGGTTGTAGTCGGACTTTTCAGGTGTTTTTTTTCTTTTTGATGGTCTGTTGGTTTGGATGGGTGCGTGGGATGGTGGGAGATGTGTTGTGCAGGAGACGATGTCGGAGGTGGAGTCGTGTGTTGCATACGACGACGACGGGTGCTTGTGGAGGGTTTTGTGGTCTTGGGTTAGGGATTTGGATTGCATACATGGTTGCAGAATGATATTTCAGAGGTAGATATTCAGAATGAGAGGGGAATTGTGCCTTCCTGGGTCAACGTCCAAGTCATTTTTACTCAGACGACAACTTGGTAAACCCTATGCACAGAAAGTTACGCAGACAGCGTCTGCACTGCGTGCGATTAATCCCCCACGTACCATCATGTCCAGCATTTCGTTCGGGACGTTGGAAGTTCCGCGTTCGCTTTAGCTATTGACATTGTGTTTTTCCTCTCGGTTGCTAGTCGCGACCCGGAAGATGGGGGGAGGGGGGTCGTCGCAGCATC